GAAAAGTATCTAAGTTTTGTGAGCTCGTTGAATGCCTGAGAAACATCAAGAGGTTTAGGGAGCACCCAAGAGGTTTTCAGTGCCCTCCCTTCTCCTGACAGTTCTCCCACTTCACAAACACCCAGATCCTCCACAGAAATGTTAAGCTTTAGAAGCAAACTAGATTCCCTAATACACAGATCTATCTAACCACACTGTTTTCAACATATCAATTTGGCTCTGACATTGAAAGGCAAGCTCTACCTTGTGTTGCAGTGGGGTATGATTCTCATTTTGTACAGGTTTGCAGTAATCTATTTCAGAATGAGGAAAGGTTCGCAGTAGTCTTAGAAATGGTAGGTGGTCTAGAAAGGAAATACCAGGAGGGGGTAGAGTGGATATCCGGTTGAATGGGGAAGAGAAGCCCCTTGAAAGGTTATATGAAAGATGTCCTCCAGAGAATACGGCCCTGTCTGCATGGGCCAAATAAACTGGCCTCCCCCATCATCTTGGTGGGGAGACCAGACAACACACAATCTGTTCAGTGCCATACTCAGGGGTATACCCCTGTTAAGATGGGTTTAAATAACTCTTCCTAGAAGATCTAGAGCCTTCCATTCTGACGCTGGACAGCAGCTCACCACCACCATGGCCATGCCAGGCAGCACAGTAGGATGCCCGTGCGAACAGCTTCCCAGCATTGGAACAGAAGGCCCCAGATAACAAGGGGGGTCAGGGCAGTTTTGGGGCCAGGATAATCTGGGCTGCCCCTGGAGTGTCCTGGGCAGTGCAGACAGGACCTACTTTCCTAGTTCAAACTGGAGCTCGACAGTTCCAACAGATTGGGTCAAGTGTTTTGCTTTCCTAGATGCTGTTGCTTTGCAGAATGTTATTATAATTCTGATGTCTTTCTAATGGCTCTCTCTCTCTCCTCACCCCTCTCACCCCCTGCCCTTTTTTATTTCCACAGCAGAAGCAGCAGTGCCAGTAGCGCAACAAGCATTAGCCTCCCCAAACACCTCCCCCTCTCACCTCAGATCCCTCCCCATCATCCCTCTGGTCCAGCTTTACCCCTCTCCATCTCTAACCTTGCTGCCTCGCATTTTCCTCTCAGATCTCAGTCCCAACACCAGCATCATCCGGCCATGTTTGCCACCCCTCCTACGCTGCCACCTCCTCCAGCAATACCCACCAACAGCCTTGTGATCCCAGGTCACCCTGCAGGTAGGTTCTACCATCCCACTGGGTTTCATACTAAGATTGATTCCCCTTTTCATGCACTGTAAAACTGTCAGGCTGAGTACATAGATCAGGAGAGGCGAAACCAAAATGCCAACCATCCACTCTAGTTGGGCTTTCAAAAGCAGTAGGGAACATTATTGTAATTGGTAAGACATAATGAACCAGTGGTACAAAGCCAAGTGGTATAATAATGACTCTTTATGCTCCATCCCTGTTGTGGACTGGACAGCATATCCCTCTGGAGACAAGCTGAATTCACAGCATTCTTAGTCTTCCAAATATTACAGAAGGTCTAAAAGAAGTTAATCAAATGAACTTTCCAAATAGAAATGTTTCTCCTTCTGTTGCCATTTTAAAAAGTGTGTGTGAGTGGGAAAGGGAGGTTGGGGGAGGGAGAGATGGTCAAACTAGAAGTGGCTAAAAATATAGATGGAAAAAAACCAGAATGAAATGAAGCAAGAAAACCCCTTCTTAGGAGCATAGAATCTGCCCTATCCCAAGTCAGTTATTTGTCCATCTGGCTCAGGATTTTCTTCTAGCTGGCAATGGCTTCCCATGGTCTAAGGCAGAGAGAAGTCTTTCCCGTTACTTTACCTGATCCTTCCTTTCAGGAGATGCCAGGGGTTGAACCTGAGCAATTGTACATGCAAACACAGGCTCTTCTTCTGAGTTATGGTCCCTCCCTGAACTGAACATACTCAGGAGAGAAAGGTGGGGAGTAAAATCTGTTTTGAAAAAAGCCCTGCCCTTTTTCCCCATCTTGATTTTGTTTGTGCAGAAATAAAACTGTTCAAAGAATGACATAGCTGAAAATGCTAAGTTCAGCACTCCCTCCTCTCCTGTAACATGCAATATCATTGATCCCCTATTGTCACATCATCCTGTTTTGCATTTCCCTGACCTTGCTTGGTATTACTGGCTGCTGCTGACTGGGCAAGGAAGTATTCAACATAATGGCATCACAAGACAGGGTAAATGATGCTACATGTGACAACACAAAGGGGTGCCAATTTTGATGGCAAACCCCATGTTGCATGCTTGCTTTATGCAACACTTTTTACTGAAAATCTTTCTTCTCCCCAACCCCCAATCCTTGTTTTTTAAAAAATTGTTTGCTGTTTCATCATCACAGGAGAGGGAGCTTCAGTGCTCTTTGTGATAAATTTTGGGATGCAGAACAATTCATGGAAAACCTTCAACTGGGAAAAGGAGTAAAGGAGTCATTGTCCTGTGTGGCATTTTTGCCACTAAGCAGGAGGAGGAAATTTGCATCTGGGTGAAGTGATGGAGCACAGCTGGGCAAGAAAGATTTTCTGCTTAGAATCCCAGTAGTAGTCAGCGATCTTGTCCCTGAAAGACAAATGGACCCTGCGTATATAACAGTGGATTGTGCCATCCTTTCAGGCTGCTCCACATATCAGAACATCACAGCTGGAATTCTGTTGCTGCACTATTAGGCGGAGGTACACAAACAAAGGTGGTGGTGGCGGCAAGGGGGGAAAGGTTGTGGGCCCCACCATGAAGAAAAAGGCATTGGAGAAGGAGCTGCTCAGAGCCAGCAGAATTTCCCTGACTTCCACCCATATGAGCATAGTGCATCACCAGAATTCCAGCTTTAGCTCTCTAGAGAAGGTAAGGAAGAACTTTCACTTTGTAAAACAACATATGAGAGGTTTCCTGTGTAATCCTTATATATACATACATTTCTGCTTGAGCCACTAAAACAGCAGCTTTATAGTTTCCCCATTACCTTACAGCTGTTCCTGCGGCAGCTGGGGTCTTCTGTGGTGCTCCTACCCACTGGGCCCCCTTTTGATCTGGCATTTGACTCCGTAACTAACCCAGCAGGGATTAAAGCGGACACACATTTACACTAATGCCCCTCTTCTGTTTCCTACAAAAGCCAGTTAACAAGTGAGAAAGGAGGGAACATTTTTAACTGTTGAAAGCACTGATGCCTCCCCCTCCTTTCCTCAATCTGAATCTAAAAGTTAAGGAAAGAGAAAATCCACCCCCCAACAAGACTGTCCAAAGGGATTTTTAGAAACAGACTTTCAGTTCAGCCTCTGTGTGTGTCTGTGCCTTCTAGTTTCCTGTTGACTTATTGTGACCCCATGAATTTCATAGTGTTTTCATAGGCAAAGAAAACTCAGTTGTGGTTTTTCCAGTTTCTTCCTCTGAAATATAGCCTACATAGCTAATATTCTGGAAAGTGAAGCTGGATTGTATACTGAGTGGCCTACTCCTCCTATAATTTCTTTGCCGGTTTAAGGCAGAAGAGAATCATAGAGTCATAAACTTAGGCTGCATCTGCACCACTTTAACTGCCATGGCTCAATGCTATGGAATTCTGGGAATTGTCATTTTATGAGATGTTTAGCCTTCTCTGTCAGAGAGCTCTGGTGCCACAACAAACTACAACCCCCAGAACTCCATAACATAGAGCCATGTTAAAGTGGTTTATTTCTGCAGTGTGGATGCAGCCTTTATGACACTGTTCCAGAAGCAATGTAGCTAGGACAAAACATTGTGGAAATGTTCACTCACAGTTTGATATTAATTTACAACCCATTGTTTTTGCTAGCTGTGTTATAAGAGAGAGAAAATTTCTAGAAATTTAGGAGCTGTGGAATACAATTGTTTTCCCCATGCCAGGGGGAATTCAGAAAAAACAGGGTTTTAAAAAAGAGAAATAGGTGTTGCTTTTGAAACATACAATACCTTCTCTATAATTTGGTGTAGCATAAAATTATATTGAGTTTACTTTTTAAAATTTAATTTCTTGGTAAAATAGAGCTACAAGACTTCAACTGTAAGGAACACCTCAATTATAAGGAATCACTTTGGTTTTGCCAGTTTATGAAGAGCAGGCAAAAGTCCAATAAAAACAAAAGAAGCTGTTGATCTTAATAAAGCAAAAGTATTTTGTCTCCCCTCGGACTTAAATACCCTAAAGAAACCAGATCCCATTTGATCTTGGAAGCTAAGAAGGGTCAGTCCTAGTTAGTACTTGGATGGGAAACTGCCAATGACTACCAGGTGCTGTGGGCTTTATTTCAGAGGAAGGAACTGGCAAAACTACCTCTAGGTATTTCTTGTCTAAGGAAAACCTATGAAATTCATGGGATCGCCATAAGTCAGTAGGTGACTTGAAGGCATGTACATACACACAGTCTCATAGAATCATAGAATTATAGAGTTGGAAGAGACCACAAGGGCC